CCACCTCAGGGGCCCAATAATCTCCCCATCTCACAATCATTAACTTAATCACATCTGCAAGTCCATCTTGTCACATAAGGGAACATATTCACAGGCGTCAGGAATTAGGACATAGACATCTTTGGGGTGGGGTGGGCGGCGTTATTCTGTTTACCACAAGTGAGTAATAGCACAGGTTTTGGAATAAGACAGACCTGGTTCAAATTATAATTCTGCCACTTAATGACTGGCCACAAATGACTTCATCTCTCTGAGTCTCTACTTCCTCATCTGAAGAATGAGGTAGTGATACCCACCTCATGAGACTGTTGCAGAAGTTAAATTAGGCAGTACTTGCACATTTCCTTACATAGGACTGTCACGAAGAAGGTTCATGTTAACTGTTGTTACTATAAAAAAAGATACCATAATGATAAAGAAATAGATCAATAAATGACAATGGAGAGTCCAAAAGTAGACTCACTTACATACGGTCTATTGATTTTCAGCAAAAGTGCAAAGGCAATTCAGTGGAGAAAGGATAGTCTATTCAACAAATGATGCTGGAATAATTGGATATCTATATGCAAAAAAGCGAACTTCAATCTAGACCTCTCAGATCATACACAAAAATTAACTCAAAACGGACCATAAGCCTAAATGTAAAACCAAGCATTATAAAAGTTCTAGAAGACAACATAGGAGAAAAGCCTGTGAACTTAGATCAGGCAAAGGTTTCCTAGATACCACATACCTGAAGCTGTGAATCTTAAGAAATCTTTGCCAATTCGATTTTTTCTTTACGGAATACTAGGCAGAAATATAAAGGAATGAACCATTGCTACATGCAACAACATGAATCAGTCTCAAAATAATCATGCGGAATAAAAGAAGACAAATGAAAAGTATACACTGTGCAATTTCACTTATAAATAGTCCATAAAATGCAAGCTAATCTATACTAACAGAAAGCAGATCAGTGGTTGCCTGTGCGTGAGGGAGGGCTGCCGGGAGGAAGGGGCAGAGAAAACTTTGGGGTTATGGATGTGTTCTTTATCTCGACTGTGGTGATGGTTTCATGAGTATATATATATATATAATATATATATATTTATATATTATATATATATATAATATATATATAATATATATTTAACAAATTGCACACTTTAAATATATACAGTTTATTATTTATCAATTGTATCTCAGTAAAAGTGTTTTTCTTTTTAAGTAAATAACTAAAACATTTTTAAAAAGATACAGATTAAATGCATGGAAGTTATTTAAATTAACTCTGTTTCAATATGAAGGACATGATTTGTAGTGCATAGGCCTCTTCCTTGTACACACAGTAAGATTCTAAGGAATGAGGTGTGTAGAGCTTGAGTCTGTCTTTGGCTCCTGCGCTATCAGTCTGTTAGGTAAATAACTGCCATTCACTGCATCCCATGGAATGTAATTCCTGTTACCTTCCTGACTGTGTGTGGAGAAGGAGCAGGACCCCCACCTGGGGTCTGCTGTGCTCACTCGTTAGAGAGAATGTGTAGTGTTGGAGAGCAGGAGAGAATTTCCTGACTCTACCCCACTTTAGTTCTTATGGCTGGACTAGTTATAAAATAATAAAATTGATACCAGACTAGATAAAAAAAAAAGTTTAATATGTGGGCACAGGAGAATCACAGTATGACGCTCAGATCGTAAAATGAGGCTCAAATAAATGATCAAATGAGGCACCTTTTTTATACCTTTTAGACAAAGAAACAATAAATTTGTGAGAAATTCACAGGACAAAAAGTTAGTGCTCACTAGAAACGAATCTAAGCAAGGTTTGGGTATTGTTAGTGAGGAATCGAAACAAGGTTTGAGCTCGGGTAGTAAATTAGTAAAGGCGTTATGAGGTTTGTTTATACATTCCTTTCCATTCTGGATTTTATAACTCTTGTGTTAATCGACTCTCAGTCCTTCAGGAGCAGGGAGGGCAACTATCATGGAGATTTATTTCCTGCTTTTAGGGGGACAGAGGGGAGTCAGAGAGCTCCTCCTGCTACTGCTGCAACTCAGGGGATTTTATTCAAAACAATATCATTGTAGGGTGTCTGGGGGCAGCCTGCCCCGGGCCTAAGCAAGGCATGGTAGTTAGAATGCAGGAACCATGGTTTGGATCCCAGGACCCCTATTTCCAACTCCTAGCCCCTAACTTTGGATACGTTATTTGAACTCTGTGGGCCAGTTTCCTTAGCTAAAAAATAATGGAAGCAATTATAGTAATCATCTCAGAGGGTTATTGTGAAGATTAGTCGAATTAATAATACACATAAAGTGCTTAGAGCAGCACCTGGCATGCAGTAGGTGCCCCATAGATGTTACTGTAATTATCATGGCTGTTATTCACCCACTTTGTTATTCACTCACCACCCTAGCCTGACCCCCTATCCAGCAAGTCTTGCCCCTATGGCAGGACTCCTGACCTCCGGAAGCTTCACGGGGCCCTGGAGGCCTTGTCCTCTGCTCCAACATCGTCCTCACCCTGCTGGAGCAACCAACATCCCACTCTGCTGGAGGCGTAGCTGAGCCCAAAGCCCATCTCACTGCTAATCACCATAGCCTCGTTGTTGTATTCCTGGGGTGCTGTCTTCACTGTAGGCCGCAAAGCCTAGATAGCAGCAGTTCTTTTCTCGAATTTTGCCAGAGGCCCTGGGGAGTGGCCGGGAGCATCAGGCCTTGCCCTTTTTAGTTTGGCCATTGTTCAGGCAGGGCAGGAAAGTAGGGAGTAGATGTTAGGCGTTTTGTGTGGTCTATTGGCTGCCAGTTGCCTGAAGTTATTACTGATTGTCAGTTGCAGCTACAAACAGTCTACTAGCTTCATTCACTAACGCCTAGATAAAGGAAAGTTAGATCCTATGTTAAAGTTGCCTTGAAAAAGTCCAATTAGTATGACAGGGTCATTTTAGTGAAACTATCCAGCTGGTAGAATTTGAAACATGTTTAGTAGGGGCAGGTGACACAGAACACAGTCTTTGTTTTCCTGTTTCTGGGATGACAGCTTTCTGATCTGGGTGAATGCTTCCGTTTATAAAGGACGGCCACCTCCTTCTTGGCACAAACTCAGCATGAACCTCAAAGTTCCACCTGGTGGTTTTTAAGGGCAAAAAGCCTCTTGAACCTGGCCGCCCTCCTCTTCTGAAGGCAACCCTGGGACTAGGAAACCAGAAAAGGGAAAAGGGATTCCCTACCCCACCTCTTCGCATTTCCAAGGGCTTCCTAAATGCAACCTAATTGGGAAGTCAGTGACTTTAAAATATGAGGAACAAGTGAGACTGAATAAAGGAGCCGTAGGGAGTGCCAGCGCCTATGTAGTTCAAGAGAAGGTTTCTTTCAAATGGGAGACCACCTGGAAAATTGGCATGCTAAGGGAAAGCAGCCCAGAGGTAGAAAAAGGGAGAGGAGTAGTGAGTGCATGGGCCTTGAGGGCTGAAAAGGGTGGAAAGGGGAAGGCTGGTCTTTGAAGTAGAGGGAAGGACCCAAAGGTGGTGCCTGTGCCACCCAGCAGGTGAGCAGGACTGCAGGACCACCAGGGTTCTGTTCTGTAGAGACACAGAATTTTCTCTGTAAAATAGGAAGTGAGGTCACCTAAGTGAGAGAGAGCAGCAGGTGAGGGGGTGAGGGAGAAGGGGATGCTTCAGGAAAGCCACACAGGTTTGATAGAGCCTAAAGAGATGATTATACCTTCGGACCAATAATTTTACTTTTAAAATCTATCTTAAGAAAATAACTTGAAATATGATTTAAGAAATTATACACTAGATATTCATAGAGTTATTTACAATCATTGAAACAGATGAGGGGAAAATGTAATGTTTATCAACAACAGAACAGTTAAAAATGTGCTACAGAATTATGTTAATTTAAAATGATATGTTAGAAAGATTATATAGGTCATAGTAAAATACTTGTGACATAATGGTAAGCATTAAAGGCAGGATTTAGAATTTCATATAAGATACTAAATATGGAGTGTCTAGGAAATAGAGCAAACTATTAATAGAGGTGCTCTCTTGAGAGGTAGTATTAGGAATAATTGTTATTTTTTAATCTTTTTTGACATTTTTTACAATGGATATACTTACTTTAAAATAAGACCAATGATTTTTTAAAGTATTTTTAAAAATTTCAACAAAGGCAATTATTTAAAGCAAACAATTTCATGTTTCCCATTGCTGACATTTTAAGTGGTTACATTAAATATCAAAATTCTACTTTGTCTTTTCCAGGTCACCCAGAAATTTATCCTTTATTGTTAACTACAAAGACCCAAGAAATATTTAACTGCCGAGCAAATGAAGACTTCACAGATGAACAACCTTATAAACTTATCAAAAAACAAGATATTTTTGCAGACTTTCACAAGAGAGCTGCAGTGTCTGATTTCTACCCATTCAAAAAAATTATCCAGGTAAGTACAACATCCCTTTTTATCTTTCAGTCATTCTTCAAGTGGTTCCTGGTACATAATAACAAAAGTTGGAGAAATTACTGAGTTCAGATCTGACATTGGTCGTGACACTGGGCAAATGCTGGCTTGTTCTTAGCTCTGCTACAATCCTCCTTGATGATCCCCTGTGGAAAACAAATGCTTATCAGTGACTGACTGTCTTATGCCACACCCAGAAAAACTGATCCCTGCCCAGTTTTAGCCACAATAGGAATCTACCCTTATTTTCCCATACTGCTTTAATTGTTTAATTCATAACTTGGGTCCGGATTTGTCTCCAAACACACAACAGAGCACAATGCTAAATAAAAGAAATGCTTCTTTTTTTCCTGTTAGAAATAAAATTGCACGGTAATTTCTCTGGACCCATCATGTTTTAGGAGCTTTTTAAAGTTAATAAAATAATTTTGTAATTTGGGGTTATTAACCATAGATTAGCAGTATGGCTGTCTTTTATCATTGATTAGAGAAATCAGTTTTGTGTCAATGTCAATAAACTGTGTGATCATTAAACATCATTAACCATCGCTCTCTCTCTCTCTCTCACTCTCTCTCTCTCTCTCTTTCTCTCTCTCCACCCCCGATAGCATGTTGTTTAATCTCCACCCATTTGTAAATTTTTCAGTTTTCTTTATGCAATTAATTTCTAATTTCATACCATTGTGGTCAGAAAAGATACTTGATTTCAATCCTCTTAAATTTAATAAGACTTGTTTTGTGACCTAACATGATCTATCCTGGAAAATGTTCCATGTGCACTTGTGGAAAATGTACATTCTGTTGTTTTCGAATGAAATGCTCTGTAACCTTCTTTTGATATTATTCCTGTAGGAATATCCTGGAGATGAGCTTCTGCTTGTTTATGACAAAGACTTCAAATATGGACTTAACTTTTATCTTATTGGAACAGAAGAGGGAAAGGAAAACTATTTAAATGTAAGCACACCCAAGCCCTTGCATTTTGTTCATTGTCAGAAGGAAGCGGTACCTCTGGGGGAGACCTATGCATGATTATGATTATTCTTGTTCAGGTCTGGTTCCCTGGGGCCTGGATACTGTTCTGGCACTGAGTTGGGTGCACAGTAAATGTGAGATGAACTAAATCAAACATCTCAAGGTAGCAGATACTGTACTAATTTGCCTTTTGTTGATCCAATGAGAGCAGGCACAGTCAATCTAGGGTACCACTGCTCTCAGCCACTCCTTGGTCCATATCCTTGGTTCTCTTGTTGACATCTCCATGTCTTCGGGTCAGTTACTGAATTGGTCATCTGCAAAATGGTGGCATCAATAGTATTCATTTCCAGGGCTGTTGTGAAAATTAGATGAACTAATACAAGGTAAAGCCCTTTGTATAGTGCCTGACACAAAGCTAGGTACTCCATAAATGTTTGCTATGATTATTTAAAAGCAAAAATTTTAGGGCCGGCTGAGTGGCTCAGTTGGTTAAGAGCTCGCTTAAGAGTTTGAGCTCTGAGCAACAGCAGTTCGATGCCCGGCCAAGCTGAGCTGCCGCTGAGCTGCCAACAGGTGGCAGGATGGCTCAGCTAAAAAAATAAAAATTAAAAATAAATAAATAAATAAATAAATAAAAGCAAAAATTTTAAAACATGACCTAGTCAGTGGGCAGTTGATGGGGAGGGCAGCAGAAAATAAAAGAATGGTAGTTTCCAAGGGAATAAATCAGTTCACCTTTAGGGTGTTGTTTTTTTTTTCAATGTGGTCTTGAAAAGTAACAGGTTTCTGAGACTTGCCTCCCGATCTGGCATCCTCGGGGGCAGGCTTGGTCAAACTGAGGGAGACAGAGGAGTTTGATTGGTTGTCCAATAAATAAGAAAAATAAAGAAAAGCATTAAATTTTAAAATATCTAACACTTTTTAAATTAAAAGTAATCTTTTACTTAGCCTTAGCATTTTCAATTTTATTTTTATGGTTGTGTTTTTAATTTTTAAAATTACAGTCTTGCGCCACTTAACCACAGGACAGGTTCTGAGAAACACATCGTCAGGTGATTTCCTCGTTGTGTGAACATCATAAAGTGCCCTTACATAACCCTAGATGGTAAACCCTATTGCTCGTAGGCTACAAGCCTGTACAGCTTGTCACTGTACAAAACAACACAAGATTCAATGAAGCACAGGAGAAAATGATACAATCAAGAGATGCAGTAAATGAGATGTTTAAGGCTGCTGCTGGTGTAACACAACATACTGTTTTACAGCAAAATTTTTTTCAAAATAAGTAGAAAGAGTACCCTCTAAAACAATGATAAAAAGTGTAGTATAGTAAATACATAAACCAGTAACACAGTAGTTGTTTATTAGCATTATCAAATATTATGTAATGTACATAATTGTGCATGCTATACTTTCATATGTCTAGCAGCCCAGCAGGTTTGTTTACACCAGCACCACCACCACCAACATTTGAGAAATGCATTTTGTTAGGATGCTACAGTGTCACTAGGTAATAGGAATTTTTCAGCTCCATTATAATCTTATGGAACCATTGTCATTGACCAAAATGTCATTATGTAGCTCATGACTATATAGTGAAATATTTTCAAACGTGTAAACAATAGTACAGAGAACAGTATAATAGCCACACAATCACCACCCAGAATTAACAAATATTACTATCTCACCATATTCACTTCAATTTTTTAGAAGAAATTAAATATAATAAATAGTGTTTCACTCCCTCTTGTTTCCTCCCTAATTCTATTTTCCTCACTTCTCTCTATAAGGAACCATTATTCAAAAGTTGTTATATATTATTCCTGTCCATGATTTTATATTTTTACTGTATATGTATGCTCCATAAATAATGTTTTATTATTTTATTTAAAAGTCACATAAAATTATATAAATAATTCTGCAACTTTTGTTTTTCACTGAATTATAAAACCCTAGTATTATCCATGTTGATTCATTTAGATATATATATGTAGATCAAGTTTTTTCATTGCAACTGCTTTATGGGGTTTTATTTTACGATTATAACACAATATATCAGTTCATTCATCTATTGTACTTATTCAGTAGATAAATGGATAGATAGATAGAGATATTGATATATGTCTGTCTATATGTCTCTTTGTGGACATCTTGATTCGAAAACATTCACTCGTTATTTAATGGATACCATGTTTAGTCATACTTATAATCCTCTTATCAAAGAAATTTTATTAAATCAGAGAAAACTACTTTTATATTTAACACTGTTTTAGTTTCCATATTCATAAAGATGTGCAGTACATGCTTTTTTCTTATCACATATCTTTTATTTTTCTACACTCCCATCTTTTTTCATCTTCTCTCTATATCATGATATCTTCCTTTTTTGTTCTTTATTCTGCCTTTTTTTGCATAGTTTCCTTCTCATAATCAAAAAGCATGAACCACAAAGAAGAAAAATAACAAGGAAGTGCCTAATGAATTAATATAAAAAGTAAAGTTTATTGCAAAATACACACATGTCTCTGTAACCTAAAATTGGTCATATATTTTAGGATGCTCTTTATTTTACTCTAGCCCCCAGCAGTATCAAAAGAGCAAGAAGAACATAAAGAATTTAAAGAGCATGTTCCTGAAGACGTACTTATTTATAAACCGCCTGTCTCTAAACCATGGGTTTCTTTGGGCAGTGAAAAAGAAATTGAGGAAGAATCAGTTAAGGAATCTACAAAGCAGGTCAGAGGCTTGAATATTATCTCCATTCATTACCTCCCTATAGCTAAACAACACTTTTTCCTGAAGGATCTGTCAAGTTTGCTATGCTTGCTATGGGCATGTGGTTTTTCTTTTGTTAGAAGAATGGTGATTGTCTTTGGTGTGTATTATTGGTTGACTTGTGTTGCCCTCAAAAGACATGAAGTCTTAACCCCCAGTACCTAGGAATGTGATCCTATTAAGAAATGGGAGGGTGCTATTCCATTATAACTGGGGTTCTTACAAAAAGAGGGTCATGTAAAGACATAGAGACACAGGGAGAGCAGAAGGAGACAGAGAACGGAGTGCTGTATCTACAAGCCAAGGAACGCCAAGGATTGCTGGCGTCACCAGAAGCTCAGAGAAAGGCAAGGAACAGATCCTCTCTCAAAGCCCTCAGAAAAAAACAAATCTCCAACATCTTGATCTTGGACTTCTAGCCTCCACAACTATGAGAGAATAAATTCCTGTTGTTTTAAGCTACCCTGTCTGTGATACTTGGTTACAGCCATCCCAAGAAACTGACACAGTGGCATTGCCTAAGAGGATTTGAATGTGAGTGATTTATTTTGAAAGCACCCCATGCCGGAATAGGACAGGCATCAGAACAGAGATGTGACAGAAGCCCTGCAAGGGTGCAATCTCAGGCAAAATTTTGGCAGAGTGAAGGCTTCAGCCTGAACCCCTAGGGGAATTTGGGAGTGAAAATTATACCTCAGAGTTGTCCCAAACAGAAGCAAAAGAGATACGCTTACTTATGAGGTGTGACAATTAAGCTCACGAACTTGTTGCAGCACTATTGCTAACATTTTTGTGATATCAGAGGGATTATTCTTTATGAATTTGTACCAACTGGACACTTAACCAAGTTTACTATTTGGAAATGCTGAAAAGGCTGCATGAAAAAGTTAGACGACTTGAACTTTTCGCCAACAATTCGTGGCTCTTGCATCACGACAATGCACCAGCTCACACGGCACTGCCCGGGAGGGAGTTTTTAACCAGTAAACAAATAACTGTATTGGAACACCCTCCCTACTCACCTGATCTGGCCCCCAGTGACTTCTTTCTTTTCCCAAAGGAAATATTGAAAGGAAGACATTTTGATGCCATTCAGGACATCAAGGGTAATACGACAATAGCTTTGATGGCCATTCCAAAAAGAGTTCCAAAATTGCTTAAAGGGTAGACTAGGCACTGGCATCGGTGCATAACTTCCTAAGAGGAGTACTTCAAAGATGACCGTGGTGATATTCAGCGATGAGGTATGTAGCACTTTTTCTAGGATGAGTTCACAAACTTAATTGTCTGACCTTGTATGTTTCCTGCCAGTCCATCATGGGTTGGGATGTAAACAGCCAGTCACCTCCGGTTGTTTGCAGGCAAAGTGGTCCTGGCAGCCTTGGAACAGTGCTTCATAGAAAAGCAGCAGGTAATGGCTATGAAACAGAAAGCACACATAGCTGGGGGGATGCACAGAAAGTATACAGAGGCCTGACAGGATCTGGGCAGAGCACCCGCGTTGCCTACCACACACCCATTTCTCTCCCGGGACTTGATTATGCTCCCTTTACTGCTTCCCTGTGTTGCAGATTACATATATGATTTCTCGAAAACGAAGTGAATTTGGTGCACCAATTAAATTCAGTGACCAGAATGCTTCCAGTGTGAAAGATGCGTATATTGAATGTACAGCGTACCCAGATAAAAATTTTACCCTTAAGAAACTTGAGAAAGATGTTGGCATGCAAGCAGTCCCCCAAGTCAAGGACACAAGTACTCAGACGAGATGGTAAGTATGCAACAGCTTTATGTATTTTCAAAGGCAATTACAGCAAAATCGAGCAATGTCTATGATTATTTTGAGAGAGCTTTATAATACATAGGAATGGATTGACTGTGTTGACATAGATCTCCACAGAGTAATTCAATTCAGGAAGATCTTACTGAATTGCCTTTTAAAATCTTAACAGGAAAATGAGATACAAGTGTATAAAACTATAAAGACTATGAAGTGGGAAA